GCGGTGTTCAAGAAACCCACGGTTCGACGCGCCATTTCGTCGAACACCTACACATGGCGCGCCGAAGTGGCCATAGGCGAGAATATGGGCGTTAAGCACGCATACACCACGCAGCAGCGTAAGGCCGGCCTTGACGGCCTCGCATGGGTGCGGTGTGCGAGTGGGAGGCAGCCAGTAGCGGCGCGCGTGGCGCTTTGAGGACGTCTTGGGAGCATGTGGGCATCCGGGCTAAGGCCCCCGTGGCGGAGGTGGACGTAGAGTCCGGCCGCAGCTGCGGGATCGGGTGAGGAGGCGAGTGGCGGTAGGAGGAGGTTGAAGAGGTCGAGTGGCGGGGATGGGATGCAGAGGAGAAGGCGGTGGGCAAACTGAAGTTGGAGCCCATCTCGGGTTCCAGGACGAGTCTGTCATAAAACTGGTCACACAGGCACGTCCGGGCTCCGTTTTCAACGATCCACATATGGATGGAAAGCTAATTAGATAAGAAAGCCAATGCAAGTGGTCTCACGTCAAAAGCCCTTCGGAATCAACGGGAATCGTCGAAACAAGTCATTATCCAGAATCTGCTAGAGTGCTGTGACACCGTCTTTTGATCCGTTGGACCGTGTATCGTGTTTGGGCCTATTAGGGGGCGCGTCCATTTTCCTTACAAAGTTGAAAGAGGATAAGGACGTGCCACACGCGCCCTGCCGCCGCCGCCGAGGCGTGCCGAGTGTGCGTGTCGTGCACTTGCGCGGTTAGTTTTGCCACTTGCTCGGGATGGTCAATGGATCGGGGAGTGTAACGTACGGAGAAATGCAGGGTCCCAAATCCTCCCATTACTCGTGGATCTGCGCATACGGAGGATCGGTGAGGTGTGGTCGCAGCTCTTCCGTAACCCGCGGTTGTCCGCACACGGAGATCTGCGAGCTTTGCTCCTCTAAAATCCCTGCGCTACTTGACTCTCTCCCTCTAGCCCCGATCGGCATCGCTCCAACTCCTCCCACGGCACCGCAACCTCTCTGTTCGAGTAGCCTCTGAGTTTCCGCATCCCAACTTCTGCGCTCACACAGACTTGGGAGAGCAGCCTCCGGAACCAACGTCCGCTTCTGCAACACCTGCTCGGGTGTGTGGGCGATCGGGTTTTTGGGGAGCGCCATTGCGACTACTCACCTCTGAATCGCCGTCACCGTCTCCTTCCTCGTGCACGCACCCGTCGCCGTCTTCTGCCTTGCACGCGCGCACGCCCTTGTCGTCTTCGCTAGATCGTATTCTTCCTGGTGTCCGTTCGAGTCGAGGAGCTGTACTGCGAACATCTTCCTGCATCGACTGTGGTCCACGACATCAAGCGACACACTATGTCTCGTGTGAATGGAGCCACCGGTGACTTGAGCATGGGTCCTCCGCAGGGTATAATTCCTTATCTAAATTCGTGATACTTAATATTACTTATGCCATGATCAGCATGTTCATAATTGCCACGGGTAGTTTACACATGCACGTATTTGTTGTCACAAATTTACTACTATGTTTTTGGATTAAATTTAACATGAAAATGCCTATTCACTTAACAGTGTGCTGGAGTGCTTGTTACGATTACCACCTGGAACAAACATGTGTTTGATGTATTGTCTCTTACATCGTTTCAACAAATGTACAATGCCGGTAGACGTGGTGGAGAACTTGCCGGCAATTGAATTTTTTCCAGTCAACGACCGCATTTGATGAATGATTAACCGCACCTGTCAGCTGCTAATAAAAGTAATAATGATATTACTACGTAACCACTGGTTGGCTCTACAACTAAAGTAATAATGATATTACTACGTAACCACTGGTTGGCTCTACAACTACAAAGCACTGCCTCAGTGATCGACCACCAACTCCAGCACCACATCCATCCATCCAATAAATCCTACTACAAATTACAACCTACTTAACCTTCCTAATACCTTATGATGACATCAAGCAGCAGTGTGAATTGACATGGATAGATCCAAGAAGCCCAGATCATCAAATAACTTAGCATCACACAGGCGATTCGAGCTACTAGACTTGAACAAGTCGTCGTCCTCGCTGAACATGTCGACGTCCTCTCTGAGGAGCGTCGGCGAGGAGGCAAGGAAGGGCAGCGGGGCTGTCCAAGCAAGCAGGAGGGCGGCCACGGTGAGGTTCGCTCCTCCTCCACTGTCGTCGTCGACGAAGGCGAGCTCGGGTTCGGTGTCCCACTCTCAGCAGGCAATGGCAATGGCAAGGCCTGCAACTGCAAGGGGAACGCGCCCGGGCTCTGCCTCAGGGACGAGGTGCAGGACGCCTGCAGGGAGGTTGCCGGAGCCGGCCGGTCCCAAGGCAATGAGGAGGAGCTGGGGGTGGACAGCTGCTGAATTGGATGCCAAGGAGGCGGCAGCGAGCGGGAACCCTGTGGTGGCGAAGGTCAAGACGCACTCCAGAAGTAGCTCGGTGAGTCATTCAGAAACCACTGTGTGTGTTTATTGGTGTGTGTTTCTGAATATGGATGGATAAGCTTTGTCTCCTTCGCTTGATGAGTCTTTCATGAGTGTTTCTTTGTTTCCGTCATGAACTTAACTGCATGACTGCTTACATTTACTGTGAAATTATATCAGCAATTATTTGTTTTCCAATTTGTTTCAGTTACAGTGTGCACAAATATAATGTTTTGAAAATCTGAACTGATCTGTCGTTGGTTCTTGTGCACTTCATTTGAGTCTAGTGTCAACTGTCAACTTAAGTTGTTAACACATTTCACAGATCGATACCTCATTAAATGAACAGCGATGAGACCAAGCACTTAAGACTAGCCACAGTGTGTAGACGGAATACCGATGCTTCAAACTCTTTTTGTGATCTCAGTCTCAATGCCTGCACATTGCAAGAGTGAATTCAAGCATCGAGAATCCTGGCATGGGGGAAAGAACATGCCTCGGTGCTTGCTCTAGGAGAAAAGTACATGGTCCCACTTGCAAAGTGATATGGGGAGATGAGAGAGGTTATGAGGTGCAAGAATAAAATGATATTTAATTCAATAGTTAAGCATCGTTGGCCACTGCAGCTCAAATGGAAAATGAAGCATCGGTCATCACTTGGTATTTGAAGCATCGAATTGGATTTAGAACACTGTGGCTAGTCTAACTCATTCCATCCCAAGATAACTCAAAATCTCTCTTTTCCAGAAGTCAAAGTCAAACTTTTTTAAATTTAACTAAATTTATAGAAAAAAGATTTTAATATTTGTATATCTTAATATGTTTATTATGAAAATGTATTTTATTGTTAATCTAAGGATGTTTATCCTGCATCATAAATACTAATATATTTTTGTATATATCTGATCAAACTTAAAAAAAGCTTGACTCTCTTAAAAAACTGGATGTATAGTTATTTTGCAACGGAGTGAGTAGGCATGAGAAGACATCCTAAGTGGCATTTTGCTCTAACAGTGTTTGCACAACAAAGAACTTCTACGAAAAGCTATGTTCATAAATTTCCATTTTTTTCTTAAGAGTGAACATGATAAACGTTTCGGTTTCTAATGTTCAGTTTTGTCATACAGAAATTATCACGTTGACAAAAAAAAAGAAGTGCATTGGCCCCGTTCGCCTTACCCCATATTCGACTTGTTCGACTTGTTTTTTCAGCCGGAACAGTGTTTTTCTCTCACAACAATTCAGACAGAACATTGTTTTTCCAACCAGTTTCAGCCAAGATTCAAAACAGCGAACAGAGCCAAAAAAAAAAAGTCTAGTTTTTCAAAAAAAAAAAAAGAAGTGCATTACGTGTATTGGCGTCTTTGCGCCACTATACTGTTGTGCTACGATTAGCTCTTTAACGTCAACCATTTTGTTTGTCGTTAGCATGCATTGCCACATTTGGGCAGTGCTGATGGATGTTATAACTTTCTATGAGAAGGATGTCTGAACCGATTTCTCCAACCAGGGTAATAAAAAGGAAATAAATAGTAATTTTCAATTATTAGTGGAGCAATCCCCTTTATTTGTTTTGGGTAATTCCCTTTGAGTGAAACGTAAAAGGCATTAGGTGCACCTAATAAGATTTCATGATTCTGTGCCAAATCTCTGCCTTTTGTCGTCGACTGGATTAAGCCACACCAGTGATAAACTTCACTGAGGTCACTGTCAAACCGTATGGGACTAGAAGGTACTACTAAAACTTCATTTTTTAAGCAATACTGCCTAAACTTCATTGAGATTAAAGATTAGACTTAGCACTTCGTCCTTACACCATGTAATTTGTGTTGTATCAGTGAGCACATTGCCACATTGGCAATCCGAGTGCAGATCCATTTCGGTCACTTCAAAAATTTCAGCTGCCACGCTAAATGAATATAATGAGATGATATTTGAGTCTGCTGATCTTGTGCAACAATCCACTCAGGCCCCAAGAAGGTTGCCAGCAGCAGAGGAGAAAGAGAAACCATTGCCAAAGAGAGGCGGTAAGGCTATCTTCAACAACAACACCTAAAATACAAGATCTATTCGTCCTTTTTGGGTACAAGTAAAAGGTTCAATACCTATTCGGCATCTTCTTCAACAACAAGACCCAAAAGAGAATCCTTTCTGTAAATGGGTTTTCAGGAGAGAAGATATCCATATTTAGGTTGTGCCTCTCAGACAACCTAAAATAGATCTCCCGTATAGGTACTTTATTAGAGGCTAATTTTAGATCTCTTAGTATCTATTTTAGGTTTGGATGTCCATATGAATTTTTTTTTGTTAGAGATAGTCTAAGATCATGACCACCTCTGCCTCTAGGACAAAGACAAACCAGGCACGCCTCCAAAAACAGAGACGCAGGAAGCAGAAGCCCCCCTGGCGTTGCAGTTGCACGGAAGAACGTGAAGGCTGCCAACAGTGTGTCACCGAAGAACATGGACACGATCTCCCCTGCTCCCACCAAAACATCCGTGGCGACGATCGGCGCCTGCTGGGAGTCTCTACCATCGGATCTTCTCGCGCGCACGGCGGCAGGCGAAGGAAGCGGCCGCGATGGCGGCGGGAGGCAGCGCGGGGAGCGAGGTGGAGACGTGCGCGAGCGCCGTGGAGCTCCGGCATGCGGAGGAGGTGCCGGGGAGGGGCCGTGGGCTTGCGCGCTCTTACGGTGTGCCATGGCGGCGCGGGGCATCGGCGACAGAGCATGGGCGCCTCGGGGTGGCAGCGGGGCACGGCGGCCGGCTAAGGCAAGCGGGAGGAGAGCAAGACAAAGTAGTAGCGAGAGAGGAAGGCGAGGAGCGCAGATGGCTCGGGGCGCTTTGCATGTGCGCGATGCCGGGTAGCGGCGTCGGCGGCTGGCCATGGCGGGCGCTGCGGTTGCTGCGGGCACGGGAGGCGCGTCTGCACCTCACCCCGGCGCGGAGCGCGCGGCGGCAGAGCGCACGGCGGCAGAGCGCGGCGGGCACGCCCACGCCCGCGAGCACGAGCGCTAACGGAGGGGATGGCGGCCGCGAGCTCCGCCGAGCGGGGCTCTGCCGGCCACGAGCTCAAGCGCGAGGGGAAGCCAGGTGTGGACGAGGACGCGGTCGTGCGGCCATGGCGGCCGGAAGTCGCGGGGCGGGGCGCGCAGGGCCAGGGTGGCGCGGGAGGTCTCGCTGCCGATGGCCATGGCGGGTAGGGGCGCACGCGGCCATGGTGGCTAGAGCTTGTGGGAGGTCTCGCTGCCGACGGCCATGGCGGGCGCGGACGGGTGCTCATCGGAGCTCGGCCATCGTCATTCTCGCCCCTGGCCACGCACGGGAGCGGAGGTGCTGGTCCAACCACCTCCGCTTTCTTTGGGGCGCCAGGCAGGGGAGCGTAGTGGCGAGAGGAGGTGAAGAGCCCCACTCGGCGGAGTTTCGGTGACCGCCTCGGGCCGGCTGCTCCATGCCAGCCGCCACCTAGCCCCGCCGCGCCATGGCCTTGAGCGACATGGGGAGCTTCGGCCCCCCGGCCGCCCATGGTATGTGTGGCGAAGGCGAAGCTTCGGCCCACCCGCCAAGATGGAGCGATGTGAGACGAGCTCCATACGCCGGCCTGCCACAGCGACGAGAGAGAGATCGAGTTTGAGAGAGATAGGATAGGGATGAGAGGTGTATAATGGACATTTTGACTGACCGGACCCACTTATCAGGACTCCCAAACGGTGAAAAACGAACGGAACACCGACGGAATGGTTTGAAGAAACAAGAAGTTCAGAACTATAGCATTCGTGTGCGGTCAATTTTTTTAATGACTTATCTGTAATTATAAACTTTTTTAATAAGACACGTGTAAAAGCCTCTGCTTCCTCCGTACCAGCCGAACGAGGCCTCACTGAACTCAACTTGTTTTTACAGTGCCTTTGCAGACTTGACCTCCGCCGTGGCCGAGCTATCGCCGCAGCAGACCGTCGACGAGTTCCTCGCCCTCCACGGGGCGCTCGAGGCCGCAGTTCCCCGCGACGACAAGCGAGATGGTCACGCCGCCGCCGGGGCCTGGCTGCGTGCCGCAGTCACCACTGACCTCGCACACTTCTCTCTACTATACTCCGCGGCGTCTCCCAGCAAGTCCAGTGGCGCGGCGTCGCCTACGGTGTCCCCGGCGTCGCCGCCACCACCACTGGCACAACGGCCGGTGATATCTGGAGAAGCCGGCGCGGAGGAGGAGTCGTGGCTGGAGGCGGCGCGGAGGGCGCTCGGAGAGGAGATGCGCGCGTGGTTTCTCGGCCACGTGGAGCGCCTGCTCGACGGCGACGTGGCCGGGACGCTGGGGCAGCTCAAGAGGGTGAACGACTGGCTGGACGCCGTCGGGCTCGGGCCGGAGTCGGACGCCGTCGAGCGCGTGAGGAAGAAGATCTACGGCTGCCTGCTGGACCACGTCGAGTCGGCGGTGGTTGCGCTGAACGGCGGCGTTGCAGCTGCCCGCCGAAAATAAATCAGTGTACAAATGCCGACATGTATAGCATGCAAGTGGCGCCTGAACTAGAGTACTTCGCCTTAAATATTTTTTTTCCCGTCTAGAAATCCAAGCGGATAGACTTGGCGCTGTTTCTGCTTTTTTACTACGGTGGGCCCCACGGCAGCTCCCAATACGACGTGGTCAGGTACGCGTCGGACCGTCTGCCTCCTCTCCATTCCGCCACCGCAACACTTCCCCACTCTCCCGAATCTCCCACCGTATCTGAGGGCTCCGCCGCGCCAATGGCGTCCCCGCCGCCGCCAGAGCCCGCACCGGCCGAGGCGGGGCTGGAGAGCATGGAGGGCCTCGTCCTCGACACGGTCATCTCAAGGGCCGGCGCGCGCCCCGCAGCGGCGCTCGCCTGCGCCAGCACGCGCCTCCGCACCGCCGTCGCCGACGACTCCCTCTGGCGCGGATTCTGCGCTGAGGACCTGGGGCTCGAAGCGCCCGTCGATCCGGAGGGCCAGCCTCTCCCCTCTTTCCAGGTTCGCGATGCTAGACCCCGGTCTTTCGTTTTTTTTTTCTGTTTTGCCCCTTTGTCCCGATTGGAGCAACAGAGGAGCGAGCGGCCCATCTCCGGGAGTCGATTGTTGATTCTTCATTTGCTTCTGTTCGCTGTGCTTGGAGTATAGGATGATTCGTTTTTTTTTATCTTGTATTGTTGCCACTGAGTTCGACTTTAGGATTTATGATAACGTCTGACTCTTGAATTATACACCCTGATTTTTTCGGAGCTATAACCAAGAAAATGGAAAAAATAAAAATAAAACTCAGAACAAGGAATCTGTTGACAGTTCGAGAAAAAAGAGAGGTACGGGTGTGGATGAGGGTGGTGACGCTTTAGAGCTAGTCAATTGCTCGTTTCAGTGTTTCCTTAGATGGAAGTAGTGCTTAGTTCTTGTTTTGCTACTTTGTCATTTTGTACACCTATAATTTAGCTTCCGGTTGTAATATTTTGCGTACAAGCATGCAATAGGGTCCTTTTACAGTGTGGGCTTGATAGATGATTTTTCTTTAAATTTTGGGCCATATTGGCTCAAAGCAGGGGCAAATAATTGCGCTTATAAGTCATCCAAACAACTTTTCCAGTACATAGAAGTAGCAAAAACATGCCTGTATCGTACACCAGTTTTTGGGTGAAGTCAGCATCCCAAACATGCCTTAGAATAGGAAAAAAGGTAATGTCAAAAGTAGAGCAATTATGGCTCAGTTTCGCACAGCTTCAGTTCCAAGAAATTTGTGGAATTCTTGGAGCTGGGTATTTATAGCTGAATTCTTAAATTTGGAGCTCTAGGTATGTTCAGAGCATTTCGGTGAAGCATTTTATTTATATAGTCTAGATTAATTTAAAAATTTAAACCACCTTAATTTCAGTCTTCAAACTACAGATCCAACCTGGATTTCGGAGCTAGAGCTTTGCAAATTAGGCACTTTATTCTAAGGACCCTCCTGTTGGCCTTGTAAAGAATTATTTTATTTACAATAATCCGCATCTATATGTAGAAAAGAATATGCTGTTTTGTGTAAATAAAGGAAATTGGTTATTTCCTCTTGCTTTTGTATGTGAACAGTTATGTATTTAAAAGCACAGTTGTTTCTATTGCAACAAAAAGAATCTAACTTCATGCGAGATTCCATTGGGGTTCAATGATTGAATACTAAAAGTTGTTTACTCAAATGATTGGCATAACTCAGTTCTTGATTATCCTTAAACCAAAGTTTTACTAGACGCAATAACGTTTAGGATGGCACATGCCCTATTTGTATTACGGCAAGGAGAAGTTTCCCACTAGCATTCCTAATCCTACTACTTGGCCGACTCCTAATTTTATTTGTAGTACTAGTGCCTCACTTTGTTGTGGGACATTTTCGGGGCTCTATAATTGCAATATTGTGAAGGTGTAACAACCAAACCCAAGGCAAAGTAATGCAAAGCAAACAAAAACAAAAGGAAGGAACTTATTATTATTTAGTGGTAGATTATCATATAACAGCGTGAGGAATGAATTCAAGGGGCCCTAAAATATTTGAGGCTTTTAGAGGGACAATACTTTATACTTTTTTGAGGTTGTGCTTCACCCGGTTTTTTTTTTTTTGGTCTTGTGTGCTTACTTTGGCGCCCTTCCTTCTTAGTTCTCTCCATGGTTTTCATTTACGTAATTCATGTGAGTATACATTCTTGTGCTGTATCTCATGATGTTATATCTGATTCCAGGGGCTATTGTGCGTAAGGGGTACTGTAATGTCACAATTCATCTTCTGTTCTTGTGTCATAACTTGAAATTATTTCTTCTTTTCAACCTTTAATCTCAATATGTATATACAACAAGAACGAAGCCTTTTAGGGCGCATTTTGATCCTTAGCTCCACCTCCCCTTGTTTTGCTAGGCAACAAATTAGCCTTGCCTGATAAAGTTATATCCAACAACGTGGCTGTTTGGTTCTTTTGCCTGGCTGGGCAAAATTACAGAGCTAGCTGTTTGGTTTCATAGCTAAAAACTTGCTTGTGCTGAAGGTTTTTGGTTTTATTTTTTTGGTACTCTTTCTAATTGTGATACACTCACCATTTTGCCTTGTTGGTAAGATTTCCTACATCCATCTATGGACACAACCTGTATGAAAGTTTACAATACATGTACCATATCAAGGCATAAATACATGTTTTAGCAGTATGCCGCATATAACATATTAGGCAAAATATTACCTTCCATTCTCTCTTGATGTTGTGGTACTTGTAGACTTGTTTTTGCTGTGAAGTTAGAGCCATGTTTTTCGTTGATTCTTTGAGCATAATCCTTGTTGTTGAAGTTTAAGTGAATTGCCCACCTCTCCCCATCAGCTTAAGCTTTTGGGTTGAACTCGTCGGTGCTGCAACTCAATATGTGTTAGAATATCTAGTTTCTATGTGAATGCTTCTACTCTACTTATGAATGCGCCACCTCCTCCAGGCTGGCTTGGCCCTTTGGGCTCCTCTGTAATCTATCACTCTAGTCTAAACTGGCCCCTTCGGGTCTGGCCCCTTGGGCACCTCTGTATCCTAGGCTATATATGTAACCCTCTTGTAACACAACTTTGGATATATATAACATCTCAGCCTGTTAGGCTTCTATCAATATGGTATCAGAGTGAGGTTTTGAGTTCGAATCCTAGTTAGCGCTATTAAATAAAATAATTGCTCCTATTCCACGTCCTAGGAGAGCCTCGACTTGAGGGGGACTCCCTATCAGCTTAAGCTTTTGCATTGAACTGATCAGTGCATGCAACTCAATACTTGTTTTGGGTATGTGGTGTTTTGTAAGGGTCCCTCTATTTTCTTCTTAATAAAATGATATGCAGTTCTCCTGCGTGTTTGAGAAAAAAAACTCAATGCTCTTCACCTTCCTGAGAACCAACCGAGGCCTTCCTGCATTCCTGTATTTTCTCTTTGAAATAGAGGAGATCTTCCGCTTCCGGCTGCCACATCACACTGTTCCAGTCATCTCCTACACATGAGAACTCAGAATTTGAATGATGATTAGGATCAGTACTAAAGCTCATATTTAAAACTTTATTTTTCAAAGAATGCATAATTCAAAGTTAAGTGAATAAAAGAGACACATTAGTCTAAAAGCAGGTACAACTCAAAATAACCTCACAATTATAGTCTACACGTGGTACATGAATATAAGTATAAGAGCATCTCCAAGAGCACCAAAAAAATAGTTCCGAAAATCATCGAGTTTTCCAAGTTGCCAAAAAATTTTGGGAGCACTAAACAAGGGCTTGAAGGGCGGGCCTGGTGCAAGCGGTAGAGTCTTACCGCCTGTGACCGGAAGGTCCCGGGTTCGAGTCGCGGTCTTCTCGCATTGCACAGGCGAGGGTAAGGCTTGCCACTGACACCTTTCCCCATGTTAGTCGCTGAATTCTTACTCTTGGTAGTAGCAGAATTCTTACTCTCATCGAGAGAGGATGACACTAGGAGTTGGGGTAATTTTTCTTGTCTATTTCTCACATAAACTCACACAAATGCCATACCAACTTTAGGGGTTGGGGTTACATATTTATAGGCTGCTAGCCAGCCAAGCATATGCTAAGATGCTAGTCTAAGATGCTAATATGCTGTCCTAGCAAAGATGTTCTCTAGTCCAAGATGCTGTCCTCTAGTCTAAGATGCTGTCCTAAAAACAGAAAAACAGCCACAAGGACCATGTGAGCAGCACAGCCCCACAAAGACCAGCCACACATGAGACTTATCCATCACCCCAGACCCCGCACAGAGTGGGAGCTCTTTACACTGGGTACGCCCCTTTTTAAACAAGGGCTTCTCCAACAGTTTCCAAAAAATCATCCCTAAAATATCAAACATTTGGTCCCACCGGCCTTCACCACATGGCCTTCACCGCCGCCGGCGAGATCTTGCTTAGCGTGAACTCGATGCTCATGTTCTGGTCAGTCACATCGGTGTGCATGATGAGAACTACTAGTTGTTGCCTGTTGGGATTCTTGGGGAGGTGAGCATCGGTGTGCATGATGAGCACAGGATGACGTCAAACGTGGACCGCTGCGTCAGCGTGTCCCCTCACGGCTGGAGGCAGAAGCTCGAGCTCTTGAAGACGAAGCACATGACGCCCACCCCCCCTAGTGGAAGAGTCTGCAGTGGCTCGACGTGCTCCACTGCTGGATGATCTCCGCGCGGACTGTTTCGGAGTTCCGGCAAAAGTCGCTACGTGAATCCTTTTTGCGCGATGGAGCAGAAGCGCGGGGAACCAATCCGCGAGCAGGATTCGCGCGACGTGGATGCATGTATTTTTCTGCACCTAGGGGGTGGATTTTTGCAAGTGCCAAAAGATTGGGAGGTAAGATTGAGACTTGTTGGAGATGAGTTTTTTTCAATCTTGCCAAAAATTCTGGATTGGGAGTGTTTTGGATACTCTTGAGATGCTCTAAGCAGGTACAACAAAGGCACATGAATAATAGTGCAACCCCACAAGAGAAAC